ATCATATAGAGTTCATCTGATTCATCAGTAATCTAGAAAGAAAAGAATGAACAACAAGATCCACATTTTAAGATCCTCTTTTTTTTTTTTCCATAGCTGCTGGATGTGGTCGTTCACCTAGCACAGAAACATCAGCGATTGCTTATCCTGGGGCGTAAACACATGCTGAAAGATTCGTTACAGTGGAGAAAAAGAGATATGGATGAAATGCAGAAAAAAGCAGACTTCTTCTTTACTAGTAACATGTATGTTTCAATTTTTAGAAGCAATCATCTTTAGAAATATTTGCAATAGTTCCAGGTTGCAGTATAAACCATTAACATGGACACTGAATTTAACAACAAAAATAATCTATTGTAAATCATATTCAGTATAAGAATGATATACATTCTTGATATACTGTATCTCATTTTTCAATTGTGCAATATTTCCCCTATGGTAATATATAAATGTAGACCTTTCACTCCCACTATTTAGTCTAGTTGTCATGCATTGTTTACCACCATCAACTGCTTTGCATACCTAATCACATTTGAATATGATGAAGTGTAAGAACCAGGCTATTAAAACCAACAACTAATAATATATTTTTTATTTGCAAATTACAAGAAAAAAATTGACAAAACAACTATATACACAACCCCCTGCAGCTAACAAAACAATCTTTAAACTTAAAAAAATTAATAGAAACAAAAATAGAAAATAGAAACAAAAAAAGGGGAAAAAAGGAAAAAACAACCCCAAAGAAACTAAAAAAGAAAAAAATGGGGGGGAAAACCCTTATATACAGTATTATACTTATCAATAGTCACTGGTTTACTATTACATACAATACTATAATGATCATTGTATTATTGTAAAATATCACAAAATCTCTGCCATAGTAACACATGGAAGATGTTAACATATTTAACATTTAAAGATTTTCCGATAAATCTGCTTATTAAAATTAATACGCTATTCCAAAAAGATATTAAATAATCACATGACCAATTATATGGATCTGTGAACCCTCAAATTTTTACACTTCCAACACAGAAAATCTGATGTTCATCCTTTCAAATACATTATTTGGGGAATCCAGTACAATTCTGTAATGCATAAATGAAGTTGACAGGTAACCAATTGAAAGATCAGAGAGGATGCTGTAGTCGTGCTCTCATTATCTCAGAGTTTGTGCCACTTAATCCAGGTCCAGGCAATACTGGAATGAATATGACACAGTATCTTGTTACTGGCCTTATTTTAATTTCTGTTTATGATTAAATAACTTCTTATCACATGGAAGTTTCCAGTTTAAAACAAAAAAATGTTGACATACATTTCAATGCTTAACAAATACCTCTACTTATTTCTTTGAATTGATAGGAATTGTCATTACCTATTTTTTAGCTAAAATCTATACATTGTTGCTTATTAATTTAATATAACTGTATGTATGCTACCATAAACTCTTAAAACAAATCTATAGTGAAATCAGGAAACAAAAAATCTTTTGAACACTTCACTTTAGAGAGCTATCCAGTAGAAACTAAAAATGTTCCCCAGTACCATAAGTTCTTAAGTTGGCACTTTCAAATTTGTAATACATTGTTTCAATACCTGTGCAGGCTTGGTCTAAATATTTGATGTTATTACCTTGATCTAAATATTTAATGCTATTATCTAGCTAGCTCCTATGTTATACATATAAATTGTATGTATATCAGTACATATATGCATGTAAGTAAATAAATAGCTATGATATGGGCAGAATGCAAGCAAGTTAAATGTCTCATAGTTAGGATCTTGGAAATAATAATTATCTGAATCAGTTCTATAGTACTTTGCTATGCAGTGGTGTACATAATATTTCTGTTTGCCTTTTTTTAAACATTAGGTCTAAAGATGATCCATTTCTGCTCTATGCCACTCTTCACTCAGGTGGTCACTGTATGATGGTAACTAGAGATCTATTACGGGATCACAAGGCTGCTCTTACTGATACTGTTACTCGTCGCTTATTTTTTAAATGGCAACGTGGACATCAGATAGTAGTATCAAGTTACAAACCGGGAAAGATTTTAACATTTGAGGTATTGCTGCATGTATTAGTGCTGTTCCTGTTTAATCATTATCTAGTGCAGCAGGGGTAAATCAAGGTGAATATAGTCTTCGTAAAGAAAATCTGGATGATTTTTATTTATTTATTTATTTATATGTCACATTTATATAGCCGCCCATCTCACACAAAGTGACTCTGGGTGGCGTACAACAATTAAATAAAATAACAATAGATAAAAACAATCATTATAAAAGATTAAAAAGTGATTATTAAAATACAACATCATCTAAAAGTGTAAAAATTTTAAATTTTAAAATATACAAACCCCACGGAGAGAGCAGAATATCATTCATAATGGAGCCATCTAAGAATGTCTCTGGTTCCCAAAGACCCCCATGCCTGATGACATAACCATGTCTTGAGGGACTTCCTAAATGACAGCAGGGAGGGGCAAGCTTAACTTCAGGAGGGAGAATGGTCCACAAGGAGGGAGCCACGGCAGAGAAGGCCCACCTCCTGGGACCCACCTAATGCAAGTCCCTTGCCATTGGAATGCGTAGCATACTTTCCCTGCCAGATCTAATGGGACGGGCTGATGTGATTGGGGAGAGGCAGCCCTCAGATAATCCAGTTTTTCTCCAATACAATAAAAAAAAAATCCTCAGGATAACTTGTAATGTTTAATATTTACACATTACAGTGATACCTCGGTTCACAAACTTAATTCGTTCCACGACTCTGGTCGCGAACCGAATTGGTCGTGA